GCTGATCGCGGTGTTGTCAAGGAAGCAGAGCGTCTGACCCCGAGAGGAAGCACCACTCATCTAGGTGCTGATTTCCCCTCCGAACTGGGACCTTTTTCCTCCAGATGGTGGCCCAGGGAGAACCCTCTAGCCTGGATGGCAGAGCCAGGAAGAGTCTCTTGGTGTTCTCCATTTTCCCGTCGCTGGCGAGGTCTTCCCTTCTACCCAGCTATATAGGGCTTGGGACAGGCAGTTTGGAAGTGGCCACTGCCCCTTTAAGAGGGGCTGGAATGCTGCCGCCAGAAGGTTCTGTAGCAGCTGGCCTGGGAGGGGGAGCCTGGCTGATCCCCTCACACACACACCCAGCTCCCAGGGGACTGGGGGAGGGGGAGGCCCCCACACTAACTGGGCGCTGGGCCTGGAGGCCGTGGTGGGGAAAGGCCTTGCCGGGTCCTCCAGGCCTGCAGACAGCCCCTCCAGCCCCAGCCTGAGGCCTGCACTGTTTTGCAGCTGAGGCCCAGAGCAGGGAGGGTAGACCTTTCCTCCTCCCTTGCTCGGGTTCATCAGCCTGGCTCCTCTCCCAGGACCCCAGCCCTCCTGGCCCCAGGAGGCAAGCCCCTTCTGTCTTCCACCTAGCATATTTGCTGTCACCTTCTGTCCCGGAACTCCGCATCGATGAGCCCATGAAATCGCACGTGTGTGTGCGTGCGTGTGTGTACAGGGGGGGTGCTACCTTATGGAGATCCTCAGTACTCTGGATTCTGCTGTTGTGCCTGCCCTGGTGTGCAGACTCCTAGGGTGGTGATGATTGTCTGGTGTCACAGCCTGATTGGCAGATTCTCAGGAGCATCCATCTGGAAGGGGTTGCGGGTGGCTGCTTCTGCCCGGAGAGAGAAAATAGGGTGGGAAGGAACTGTGATACTGCCTCAGGATATGGGCTGGGGAAAATGGGGAGAATCAGCCAGAGTCCCATCTGCTGCTACCTTGAGGGAGGAGAGTCTGTCTGTGTCTGTGTCTAGTCCCTCACCTTGCTCCTCTCTCCTAAGCAGACCTCCCAGGGCCACCTCTCCTTCTCCCAAGGTGGCTGTTGAGTCAGGCCTAACTACAGTTATAAGAAAGTCTGTTTACTGCATATATTTTAACTCTAATGTCAGTCTACTCATTGTCTTCTTAGCATAACTCAACTAATAATATCAAATCAAGCGCAGGTCTGATTTTCTATTTATATTTCTTTCTAAAATGTGTTATAATGCCAGGCCCTGTGGTATGCATCTACAATCTCAGCTCCTCCAGAGGCTGAGTCAAAAGAATCTTAAATTTTTTATTTATTGATTGATTGATTGATTGAGACAGGGTCTCACTTTGTGGTGCCTGCTGTCCTTGAACGTACTGTGTAACTAAGGCTGGCTTCCAACTCACAGCGATCCTTCTGCAGAAGAATGAGGCCAGCCTGGGCAGCTTGGTGAGATCCTGTCTCAAAATAAAAAAGTCTGGGGACTATAGCTCAGTGGTAGAGCACTTGCTTACATGCCCAAGACCTGGGTTTGATCCCCAGTATAAATAAATAAAAATGTTACAAATACATACCAAGCTAAGCAGCATTTGTCATGTGCCACTGAAGCCATCTTGCACACATCAGTGGTACTTGAAGCACCCTTTGCAAAATAATCAGAGTTGGCAGGGTTAAGAACAATGCTAAAAATGGAGTGGTAGAGATTGATTGACTGATTTTATCCCCAGAGGGATAAACGAGCAGATGACCTGGTGGTAGGGCTGTCTTTTCACAGAGCACTAATAGCCAAGGACCATATATACAGTATATTTCACTCATTTTACAAACGCTTTGGTGTTTACTTTGTGCCAGATACTGAGCTAAAAGCTTTGCAAATCTTTGCTCACTGAGTCCTCATAACAGCCCTGTGAAACAGGTGGTAATATCCCCACTTTACAACTGAGAGAACTAGAGTGCAGAAAGCTTAAATTACTTGCCCCAAATCACCTAGCTAGTAAGTGACAGAGCTTTGTTTCACTTCAAGAATCTGGCTCCAAAGTCTAAAGCCTTAATCACACAGTTGGAGGTGTGATTGTTATCAACCTCTTACAGAGCTCCTCTCCAGGGAGATAGTAACCCTCAGCAAACTGAGGAAGTGATAGGGATGAGTTTGTCCAAGCCCAGAGCCATGATCCCCAGAGGAGGAGGACGCTGCCATCCCTCCAGTCTCTCAGCCTCACCCTCTGAGCTTCAGCCTGAGGATGCCCCAGTCCCCTGTGGTCTCCCTATTGTAAACTTTGGTAACAGAGGAAGGGTTAACAGCTTCAGCACTAGGCGAGGGTGGAACTAAGATGGGAAAGCTAAGTAGCCACTGCTGCTGTGGCCTCAGCTACAGGAGGAAACACTGTGACAAGTTAGGTCACTTATTCCCTGTCCATGTCACTGTCCTGCCTCTGGGCCTCCTACTTGGAGCAGTCTTCTTCCCATGTCTCCTCCAGGTCCAAATTTTCCTGTTATCCAGGTTGAACTTTTTCCATGCAAAGCATCATGGTGCTTTATCCCTCTGTCCTTACATCCTGACCCAGGGTCTCTAAGGAGACCCTGACACCTAAGTAACATGCAGCAGATGTCTCTCCATAGCTGTTGCTCTTGTGGCTCCAACCCCTCCCCACCTGCAGTGCACTGTCATGTTCTCTCAGAGTGCAAGGCAGGCTCCATGCCTGACACTTCATGAGTCCATGCCATGGCAAGCTTGGGACCTAAACTCACTAGGCTTTCAGCAAAAGCTTTTAAATTGGACGAATGATGAGTGATGAGCAGATGTGTTTGGTCTGGGTCTTAGGAACTTAGACCTAGTTATAAGAAGAGCATGGGTCTCACCAAAAGTTGGTAAAAGTGTGCCTAGACTTTGGCAAGCATTTAACAATTCATTTACAGAGTGCGACAGGCCGGGCGTGGTGGCAGACGCCTGTAAGCCCAGCACTCAGGAGGCTGAGACAGGGATTGCTGCAAATTCGAGGCCAGCCTGAGCTACTGAGTTCAGGGCCACCCTAAACTGCATAGTGAGGGCCGGGAATAGAGCTCAGTGGCATAAGCGCGTGCCTGGCAAGCGCAAGGTCCTGAGTTCGATTCCCCGTACCAAAAACAAAAACAAAAAAACCTGCATAGTGAAGCCCTGTCTCAGAAAGACACACACACAAAAAAAGGCTGGAGAAGTTACAAGACTTCTCTAAGATAGGAGAGAGAGACTGCTGTTGGAACCCTGAGCCATTCCGCTTTACCACGGAAGGGTACAGCCTGCCTGAAGTCGTCCAGGGCTGCTGAAGATCAGCTGATCGTTGTGAGTTAGCAGTCTCGGTGACCTGTTGGTGACCCCCAGAAACAGCAAACATCTGTAGTGTGGAGCAGTTCGGCGGGGCCTGCCAGGGGTGGGAGGGGATTTAGCAGCAGCTTCCCGCCACAGAGACACACTGTCCAGAGCAGTGTGTAGTCTATGCCATGTGGCCCGTGCGTCCCTTTGCCTGGGAACCCTGGCTCCTGTGCAGGGCTGCAAGCCCAGGGTACCCTGTGGCCAGACTGGCTGGTGCGTCTGAGCCGCCTCTCTTGTGTCTCTCCAGCCCGTTCTGGCTCTAGGCTTTCTGCCATCATGAGCCTGAGGTGACGACTTGGGCTGTTTTCTCAGGGTCGCTGTGGGGTTGGAAGCGGTGGGAGCCAGAGCTGGACGGGAAGGAGGAGGGCCGGCTTGGCCTGTGAATTTGGCTGTGAGTCCAAGAATGTGAGCATCACCAGGAGCCAAGCACGTTCCTGACTGGGCAGAAGCTGCTGTCAGAACAAGGACGCTAGGGCTTCCCAGCCTCCTCCCTTGCTGTTTCCCCTCTGGTCAGAACTCTAGACCTGTGTCATTCACTTTGTCACCCATGGTCAGGGCTTCCCAGCAGTGTGCCCCTGGGGTATTTGACAGTCTCACAATCCTCCAGCTTTTCCATTCCCTTCCCTGGCCCCAAAGCATAGTCAGTGTCAGACTTCTTGTCTTACTGCGTTCCCTCGAGCAAACTACGTGCCATGACCACATTCCACACCCTCATGGCCCACATCCCTGTCCCCCCGGCACCCAGCCTGACCCGCTTTACCCGTGTCAGCATATCGGAAAGAATGCGACGTACAGTGGAAAGAGTATGGGGTTTGGAGTCAGACACGACTGGAGTTGATTTCTAGCTCTGCCGTCTACTAGCTATGTGACCCTGGACAAGTTATGGAATGCTTGTCAGTTGCCTCATTCATGAAATGCAGCTGATTCTCCCCACCCCATGAGGCTAGTGGGAAGCATATATCTGCAAACCAAGGGGGTGGAAGATCGTATACTACGTAAGGATATACACTTTAGTGTCAGGCTGACCACGGTTCAGATGCTGGCTCTTCACTCGCTAGTGGTATGAGCTTAGGTGAATTACTGAACCTGTTAAGCCTGTTTTCCCATCTGTCTCTGCCTTGTAGCACTGTTGTGACTATGAAACGAAATGATACAAGTACAGTGTAGCATAGTGCTCGACCCATTACGCTTGCTCAATAAATGAGAGTATAAATGTCACTGTTATCATCACGGCATGTGGAAGATGTTCAGTCAGTGCCTTCTCCCCTTCTTCCTAATTTCCCGTGAGAAGGGAAGAGCAATAATAATTGTGCACTTTTTCCCAACTTGGGGTTCAGAAGGAAAGAGAGAGTCCAGCCTGGGAGAGCCATGTTGGGGCTGAATAAAGTACCCTGGGGGGGGGGGGCTAGGGGTGCATGGGGCAGCAGTCTGTCCCTTGGAATTGGCGAGCAACTGATGATGGAGAGCATGCCCAGGAAGGTGGCTGGCTCACGTGCAAGGCTGGTGGTAAGGGCTGTCCCTGGGTCCCCTCCTCCTCTGCTACCATTTGAACATTCTTGTCCTGGTTGCTTGGTCCCAGCTGAGGGTGGAGGACTGTTGGGGCTGTGCAGCCCCTCCAGTTTCACACCAGAAAGTTCTCTGACACCCCCTTCCCTGCAGAGTGGTGAAGGAGGAGATCTCCGATGACAATGCCAAGCTACCCTGCTTCAATGGCCGTGTGGTGTCCTGGGTAAGGAGCTCTCCAGCCTCATTCACCTGCATCCTGCTGCTGGAGCCAGAAAGGCATCGCTGAGCTTGCAGCTGGGGCTTTTGGGTTTCAGTAGCTGGATCTTCCTTTAGTTTTTTGACTGAACCACTTCTTACCCCAGATTTTTAATCTTGAATGAAAAGTGGCAGAGTAGTAGGAGGGGAGAGACCGAAACACGCAGTGGAGATAAAGCTCTCCTGTGCTCATCGAGACACCTGCTGTCACTTGGTGACCTTTGTCTAGGACTACTGACCCCTGTTGCCTGCCCTCGCTGCTTCACCAACCCATGCCTCCCAGCCCCCCACACCTGGGCAAGGAGCCGCTCCTCACCTCCGCTGCCCCCCTCTCCTCGGTGCCCCCATGACACAGTACCCACTCGTTTTCTCTCCACCAGCTGGTGTCAGCAGAAGGCTCGCACCCAGAGCCGGCCCCCTTCTGTGCTGACAACCCCTCGGAACTGCCCCCACCTATGGAGCGCACGGGAGGCATTGGGGACTCCCGACCCCCATCTTTCCAGTGAGTGTGACCTGAGGGTCAGGCAGCCCGTGGGGGAGGGAGGCATCCTCTCAGCCCAAGGCTGGGGGAGGGAGCCCCCAGCCTGCCCCCTCCCCTGCCAAGTCCTCTCTTCCCTGCAGCCCTCATGCCGGTGGGGGCAGCCAGGAGAACCTGGACAATGACACAGAGACAGATTCCTTGGTGTCTGCTCAGCGGGAGCGGCCACGCCGGAGGGATGGCCCAGAGCACGGTGTGTCTCCACCCCTCTTCCAGCCAGCCCCCTTCTCCCTCAGTTCCTGAGCTCTGAATGCCCCTGGCCCTCTCTCCTCCCTTGTCCTCGCATGCATTGGGCACTGTGTGACCCCAGATGCCTCTGTCCTCTGTAGCAACGCGGTTAAATGGAACCGCAAAGGCGGAGCGTCGGCGAGAGCCAGGCGGTTACGATAGCTCATCCACCCTCATGAGCAGCGAGCTGGAGACCACCAGCTTCTTCGACTCCGATGAGGATGATTCCACCAGCAGGTGGGGCTTCAGTCTTATGGGTACCGTGGGGCAGCTGGCCTCTGAGAAGCCAGCAAACAGGATGCTGCGCCCGGGCAGGGACTCGGGCTCTGGGCTGGGGACGTGGGCCCTGCAGTGCCTCTCCTGGGGTAGGGCTGGGCCAGCCTGGTGGGGAACGACTGTGGGCCCCGCAGGTTCAGCAGCTCCACAGAGCAGAGCAGCGCCTCCCGCCTGATGAGAAGGCACAAGCGGCGGCGGCGGAAGCAGAAGGTCTCACGGATTGAGCGGGTATGGGCCTGGGCTGCCTGGGACGGGTGTGGGTAGATCAGGGGACCTTCCCCCCGCAGGACCATGGCCTGTTCTTCCTCGGAGCCCTGCCCTCTGGTTCGGTGTTGAGAACCGTAGCGGGTGGGGGGGGGGGCAGAGGAGGAACCAAGAGGCAGCAGTGAGTCCCTCCACTCCTGCCACTCAGGGCTCGGTCTCTTCCAGTCCTCGTCCTTCAGCAGCATCACAGACTCCACCATGTCGCTCAACATCATCACCGTCACTCTCAACATGGGTGAGTGTGAGCACCCCCGGGATGCCATGGGCGGGTGAGAGGGGTCCTGGGAGGCCAAGATAGGGCCTGTTCCCTGCCCGCAAGGAGCCTCTTGAATAAACTACTGACAAACTGTGACCACTTGTCTGTGGTCTGTGGCTGTGACACACAGCACAGGGGGCTGCGGAGGCAGGAGGTGCACCCGGAAAGGCTCCTTGGGAGAAGTTCGGAGTGCCCCGCTCCTCGCCTTCTTTAGCCATTGTATCTTTGCTCTCTGATTTCTGCCCCAGAGCAGTGGTGGCAAACATTTCAGAAACGAGTGCCCAAGGTGCCATCTAAAACCCACTTATTTCTTGTGAAGTGCCAACACTGCAGTTAAATCTGAACTGAGGTTTTAGTTTAGAAAAAAAACAATTCATACATTAACACTTTTTCTCTTTAAAAAAAAAAATAGCACTCATGCCATAGGTTCTTCACCACTGCCCTAGGGACTCTTTAGGAGAGACCTGCATGTGGTAAAAAAAAACCCACGTTGGAAAATTAAATCTGATATTAAATCCTGGCTCTGCCTTTTACTGACCTAGACAGTCATTTAAATTCACTAAACTTCAAAGCCAGGCATGGTTATGCATGCCCCTGATTCCAGCACTCAGGAGGCTGAGGCAGGAGGATTGCTGCGAGTTCGAGGCCACCCTGGGTTACGTATTGAGTTTAAAGTTAGTCTGAAATACATGATGAGACCCTGTCCCAAAAACACCAAAAGAAAAAAAAAAATCACCAAACGTCACTTTCCTGCTCTCTAAAGCGGGACTGAGTGTCGCCGTGTCACAACCAGCAGGAGTTACAGGAAAGCATACTCAGGCGGTGTGTGCACAGCGCCTGGCTCAGGTTCAGTAGAGGTCAGCTCTTGTCCCCCTCCACCCTTTTCTAATAAGCAGATGGGGATCTGGGCAGGGACTCTGCCCTGCTCAAGGTGCTAAATTACTCCCTGTAGAAAAGTATAACTTCTTGGGCATCTCCATTGTGGGCCAAAGCAACGAGCGTGGCGACGGAGGGATCTACATTGGTTCTATCATGAAGGGCGGGGCCGTGGCTGCCGATGGACGCATCGAGCCAGGAGATATGCTCTTACAGGTATTGCCTCCCTGGGTGTGGTGTGGCTGGGGAGGGAGGAGGGGCCGGTGCCCTCTGGAGGAGACTTCCTGACTCCCGGCCCAGCTCCCTTGCCCCTCTCCCCGCTTCAGCCCATTATCCCACACCTGATCCTCTCTCAGGTGAACGAGATCAACTTTGAAAACATGAGTAATGACGACGCTGTCCGGGTACTGCGGGAGATTGTGCACAAACCGGGGTACGGAGGGAATGGGGCCCGGGGAAGGCTGGGGCAGGCATTTGATCTGTCAGGCCAGGGGCTGGGGCTGGCCTCCAACCATCCTTCCCTCACCAGGACAACCTTGTTTTCAGGCCCATCACCCTGACTGTAGCCAAGTGCTGGGACCCAAGTCCACGTGGTTGCTTCACGTTGCCCAGAAGTAAGTAGATGGGGCATTTACTCCTGAAATTGGTGCTTGCAGACGTGAGCCCTGTCCCTTGTTTCTTCCGTGTCAGCCCGAGCTCTTACACCTACCTGTTGGTGTGGGTGGCCTATGACTGTGCATCCTCCCTGCAGGTGAGCCCATCCGGCCCATTGACCCTGCGGCCTGGGTCTCCCACACTGCAGCCATGACGGGCACCTTCCCTGCCTACGGCATGAGCCCCTCCCTGAGCACCATCACCTCTACCAGCTCCTCCATCACCAGCTCCATCCCTGACACAGAGCGTGAGTGTCCAGCCCTGGGCCCAGCAGACAAGGCCAGGTGGGGGATAGAGCCCACAGGAGGGCCGGAGAGGGAACCGCTCATTCCAGCCACCTCACGCCGCAGCTCCCCTCAGCGCACACTCAATCCCCACTGTGCACTGTTCGCTGCTGACCTGGTACTGAGCATCCAGGGAGCCTCAGTTTCCTCTACTGAAATGGGACTCTCAATATATACTTCACCAGGTTCCAGTGAGCTTAATAAGAGGGTACCAGTGACATATACCAGTGTGTGGCATAAAGTAAGCGCTCAGTAAAACACTGCCATTTTTATTTTCATAACCTGCACACATACACTGTGCTAAGCACTTCCACTTACCTTACTAATTCTTTCTTCAAATACCCTTGTAAACTTATGCCAGGCGTGGTGGCACACACCTGTAACCCCAGCATTCAGGAGGCTGAGGCAGGAGGATTGTTGTGAGTTCGAGGACAACCTGGGCTACAAAGTGAGCTCAAGGCCAGCTTGAACTGCATAGCGAGATCCTGTCTCAAAGAGACCAAAAAAAAACCAAAAACAAAAAAAACCCTTGTAAATATTAAATTGCCCATTTTTACAGAGAAGAAAACTGAGTGTCAAAAAAGTCAGTAATTTGTCCAGCATTGGGCCCACCGTTACTGCACACCAGAGCTGGATCTAAACTCTTGTCTCCCGAACTCTAAAGCCCCTGCCTGCCTCACCATTCTGCCTCCACCCCCAGGCCTAGATGACTTCCACCTATCCATCCACAGTGACATGGCCGCCATCGTAAAAGCCATGGCCTCCCCTGAATCAGGGCTGGAGGTCCGAGACCGCATGTGGCTCAAGATTACCATTCCCAATGCCTTCATCGGTGAGAGAGCCCCATGGTGGGATGAAGGACAGGGTGGGGAGTGAGGGGACAGGGCTCGCTGGCTTAGAGGGACTAGAGAACTCCCTGGGCCCACTCCTTTGAGCTTCTGAGAGGCCAGAGGAACCCAGATCGGGGAGCCTCCCATTCACCCGGCAGCCTTCTCCCCAGGCTCAGATGTGGTGGACTGGCTGTACCACAATGTGGAAGGCTTCACTGACCGGCGGGAGGCCCGCAAGTATGCCAGCAACCTGCTAAAAGCCGGCTTCATCCGCCACACTGTCAACAAGATCACCTTCTCTGAGCAGTGCTACTATATCTTCGGTGACCTCTGTGGCAGTACGTGCCTCCCCACTCTTAACTTGTCTGCTGGTGGGGCGTGGGGAGGTGCCAGGGATGTGGCGGCAGATTCTGGGGAAGCGGGGTGAGGCACAGCAGCGCTGGGGGCCCGGCTTAGCTTTGAGAGTTCTATAGTGGAAACAGTCCAGCCTAGACTCCACCTGCCCCACATCTCCCTTTGGAGCCTGCCATTCTCTGAGCGCACCCTCTGTGCCTGCCATGGTGCTGATAGTTCCAAAGTGTCATCTCACTCGATCCTTGCAATCCCTGGGGGTAGAGAGGTTTACTCTTTATTCCTGAGAGGAATGAGGTATGAGATAGTCTACCCCAGGTCCCACATCCCAAATGCCTCAGATTGGGTTCTAGGGACTGGAATGGCTGATCCTGCAGAACACAGTCCCAGAGAAGAGGAGTTGTGCCTTGGATGCGGGTCTCTCTGGCTCCAGAGCTCTTGCTCTTTTCAGTGCCTGGCGCTGCCCTGGGTATTTGGTGCCATAGAACCATTGCCTCAGCAAAGCTGAACAGAGTGCCTGCCTCTGGTCCTTGAACCAAGTGGGTCCCTCCAGGGCAGGACCTGAGACTGGCCAGATACTACAGGTCCTGCTCAGACCCCCGAGGGTGGGCCATCAACGTCACAGGAAGAAGCTGAAGACGCTGCCAGGGCCAAGTCACAGAAGACTGCAAGTTGTGCCAAGGAGTCTGGAAAGTGCCAGTGAGGGTGTTAAGCAGAAGAGGTCTGCAGTGCGCCTCCCTGCTGCTCCTCAGCCTGGGCACAACCCTTGGCATGGGGAGTCCTCAGAACAGGATAGCCATTCCCTGCTAGGAAGGCACTGTGTCACTGAGCTGTATCCCCGGCCCAAGCCGTTCTGTGCTTCAGCCCACGCCCAGCATCATGTCTGCCCGAGGGAGCCTTCTCAGCCCAGTGGTACTGTCTGGTTTCTAAGGCGGACTCCTAAAATGCCTCAAATTGGGTTCTAGGGACTAGAATGGCTGATCCTGTAGAACACAGTCTGGGTGAAGGGTGCTCCTGGCCCTTGGCAGTTTCCGCATGGCCCCATGGGGTAGCGATACATGCATAGGACCGCGAAGGTTCACAGTTCTAGGTTCAAATCCTAGCTCTACCCCTACCGAGTGAACATGAGTAAGGGATGTGCCCTGTCCGTGGTCAGCTTCTTGGTCTGTGAGATGGAGGTAAAAGTGGAGCCTCCCTCCCAGGGCTGTCTTGAGAACAGTTTATAGAATGCTTAGTACAGTATGTGGACCACAGTAAGTGCTCTATAAAAACTGCCCGTTCATATATTAATGAGATACACACTTTTTTCACATTTCAGAATTTGTGAAATTGGAGTACATGTTACAATCAATAGCTTCTTAACTCAATGAAATGTGTACAATTGTCATCATTAGTAGAAGTCAGCCCAGGCCCCAGACCTCTAGGACACCTAAAAATTCCAAGGCGGCTATGATCTTTGTTCAGAAGATACTTTCTTCCATGGGTCCACCTGGGTCTTCTCCCTGTGACCGCAGACCGTCTGAGACCCAGATCAGGGTGATCTCTTCCTTCTCGCAGGCCAGAGTCCTCAGCTGGGAATGTGGCAGTCTCACAGGGAAGAAGGACCACACAGTCACTCCCAGGGCCACAGCCCGCAGGCTAAGGTCATCGCCAGCTCTCCAGGCATGAGTCAGGCAGGCTGGCGCTTCCCTCCACTCTGGGGCAGTTCCAGCTCTCAGAGCTCTGGGGCCTGGTACAGGTGGTGTGTGAGCAGGGGCCATCCCAGGCAGGTAGAGGGACCTGGTGGCCTCTTAAGAGTCCCTGCCAGGTAGTCCCAGCATTGGCAGGGGCAGCCCTGCCCTTAATGAGTTAGAATTTCTGGTGTCTTCCTGAGTCCCCATGTGCAGTTCCTAGAGGCCGCCTGGTGTTCAATTCAGCCTTCCCCATTCCCTGGCCTGGCACCCTCTGGGTGAACTAGAGAAGGCGGGAGAGTAAGAGCTTTGCCCCTCTTCAGTGCACTGAGGAGGGAGGAGGGAGGGCCGCAAGCTTGACCCGGGCCTGGAGGGCCTGGGAGTCGGGTGTGGAGATTGGCTGAGGTCTGACAGGATGACTGGACCTTCCTGGAGGGTCTCGCATTCTGTATCTCTGGTGGGGTCTAAGGGGGTCTCAGAAAGGCTGGGCTCTTGGGCCGGTGCTGTGCCTCCTCCCTCCCGTTCTGGCCAGAAACGACCACCATTGCATACCGCCCGGCCTAGGCTGGGGCCTTCTCCCACAACTCACCCAGCGCTCCTCTGCAGACATGGCCAACCTGTCCCTCCACGACCACGACGGCTCCAGCGGTGCTTCTGACCAGGACACGCTGGCCCCGCTGCCTCACCCGGGGGCCGCTCCTTGGCCGATGGCTTTCCCCTACCAATACCCGCCGCCCCCGCACCCCTACAACCCGCACCCCGGCTTCCCGGAGCTGGGCTACAGCTACGGCGGGGGCAGCGCCAGCAGTCAGCACAGTGAAGGTATGGGGGACCTGCACAGGGGGAGCCCCGGGCCGCCCAGGCTCCCCGCCCGCGCTGAGAGCCCACCTCGGCCCTGCGTCCCCAACAGGCAGTCGGAGTAGCGGCTCCAACCGCAGCGGCAGCGACCGGCGCAAGGAGAAGGACCCGAAGGCCGGGGACTCCAAGTCGGGCGGCAGCGGCAGCGAGTC